ATATTCTAATGTACATACGATTTAAGGGTTACCAGCACCTTTTACAGCGTTGTTAGGTCATTCTAAGCTGCTTTTTTTTCGTTGATGTGGCTTGTTTTGTTCTTGTCATAGCCGGATAGGTCAAATAGCAGAAGCATGCATACCTTTAACAGGACATGGTGTATCATAGGCCATGTCGGTCCAATTTCGCTGGTGACTATCTGATGGAGGTTCATCTTCGTTTCCCCCTTCGTCATGGCATGCTTAGCTCCTGCCAACAGAAAGGGTCTAAAGTGCTTATAGTTATACTGTTAGTTATTTGGAGTAATAAATAGTCGCAAAATATTGACTCGTCAAAGGTGATAGCATCCACCGTTAAGACGAACCTGTGTGATGCAGTTTAACAAAGGCTTTCCAGTGCTGTTCCTCCAAGGGCCGGGTTTGTTTAGTTTTGCGATCTGAGTGTTCTGCGGGCCTCCCACTGGGTGGATGTGAAAAATTTGCGAGCGGTGAGTGTAAAGAGCGACCGGCTTTGCCGATAATGATAGCTGGAAACTTAAGTGTGCATACATCTGGTGAGTTCTTAACGTAGAACTACAAGTTAGGCACTTGATCGCACACATGATTTTAGCCGCATAGATAAGCAGCAGACGCTGGGTACGGTCATTTCATTGCTTTTAGCTAGGGAGTCGCAATTTTGCGGAAGACAAGTGCTAGAGGAGTCGCAATTTTGCGAAAGACAAGATTCCGTCAAATTACGTGCTGATGGCACCACTCACTTAAAACAAATAAAAACTCTGAAAATGTGTGCCATCTGAGAAGCGTCTAAAATTCCTCCATCTTAGAGGTTTTTGACCTGGTGTCAACCGGAATATCAGTGTGAAATCACGCGTTTGACTTCCCATCGGTAGTGTTGATAAGTTGAGCTTTTTAGTGATGATTAAATGCATTAATACTACTTGCTCAATTATCAAGGCCAAATACCAAATCGTCGTGTCATCTTGCTGTAATTCTGATCGATTGTATTCGGATTAATAAAAAATAACATGCTGGAGAAATGGGGTTGGGTGGGTAACTGGGCACTTCTCAACGTGTTAGCTTCCAGTGAGTGCTCCCCTGCCTCAACACACGCCCTTGTGGTTTATTGCCCATCCCCACCTCCTAAAACCATCTGTCGTTTTCGGTGATTTAGGTTTAGAGAGATGGAGACCATTTCTTGCAGGGTATGGTTGATAGGTTCATGGGCCTGCTATAGGACACATGCATTTCAGCTTCAGTAGGGTATTTCAACGATTTGTTCTCATTAATGTGCCTTGTCTATTTCCTGATGTAGCTGGATGGACCAATGCAAGAAGAATCTTCATGTAAGTCTGTTTCCATGGCAACTACACTTGTTGATAAGGCCCATTTTCTTTCTGTAAAATCCAACCGGCGTCCTTTTGACGCCAGGCTGCGTCGCGATGAGAAGCTGATGCACTTTGGCACTAAAGAAATATTTTGGCCCGACATTTCATCCCTACTGTCGTCTAACTTTCCGCCATGACGGTTACTTTACGGTTTTGTAGGGTGTTGCCGCGCCCAATTTTTATCGTCGTTGCGCCGCCGTGTTTGACGTTGTGTGTCTTTGTCATGCTCAAATGTTTTGTTGACATCTCTCGTACCGTATCCGTGCTGCTCCCAAAAAATGCACCTGCATGATTTTGTGGGCGGATTACGTTGGTATAGGCTGCATCAGTTTATTATGCAGTACGCAACCCATCGTGTAAAATAATTCAGGTGTGTGTAGTGGGACAGACGGTGTAAGGACCGGAGTCTATGGGTGGGAGCTAAATTTGCCTTCAAATGCATATTCTGGCCCTCCTAAATGGTACAGAACGTTATGCTGGTGGGGGGTAGAATGTTATGACAAAATTCCTGCAAAAAATGGTGCTGGAGATATCTGCTGTCTAGAGTCGGACAGTCGAACAGTCTTAGCAACGATTTTCTTCCTGCAGCTTTGCTCCAAATGCATGACAGAAACAGATTTAGAAAAAATGTTCCGCCTGTTCCGCTTTTGCCTTACACTGCATGTGTCTTGCGGCTTGACTAGCTTCGGTATTTTCTCCTACAATTTTCTTTTTCTTCCGTTTCCAACCGATACATCGGCTCATGACATCGGTTCCGACCAACACCAAAAACGTACGAAAAAAACTGAAAGAGGGTCCAAAAGGCGAACAAAGGAGTCCATCTCTGCTGAGACGATGTAATCAATTTCATGTCATCGCAAAATCTGTTGACGGATATGACATTCCAGTGACATATATATATATATAATATATATATATATATATATATATATATATGGGAAATATAAGACTGTACTGTATACTGTACTGTACTGACTGTACTGTATAAGACCCAGAAGTCAGATTTTATTGTTCCGTGACGAGGCCATCGAACCACCATCTGACTGTAGTGTGAGGGATGCACGGAACTCAAATAAACGTGAACTTCCATTAATGAGCTTAACGAGAGTAACCTGCTGAACATATCTATTGAGACATTGCGCTTGTGAGGCGGTGACGCATGGAAGTATGAGGTAAAAGTCGAGGTATTCCCGAGAAAAAATCCCCCGGGTTAGTCTGATCACCGTAATATTGGTTCAATGTCGCCAGATGTGGCGTTTTTCATCGTGCGGTCTGGCGAAAAAGCCTACTTAGCATAGCATGCATAGGTCCTTTCACAAAATTGGAGCAGCAATAATATTGATAACAGCATGTTGGAGCCCATTTCCACGATAAGCCCAGTGTCGGCCAGCTAAACAGGTGTGCTTCAGGATAACAATGACATGTTTGGATCCAATTTCAATGATGAAGCCGGCGTGAGGTCAGGTAGATAGGTTTGTTCAAGCACCCCCTCTCGATGAGTGGGTGCACGTACGACAAGATTGATGAAATACGCTTGGAGCAATATGCCATGCATTCTTGATAACTTTTATTGATCTCAGGCGGCGGTGAGCAGTTGATTCCACTAGGAAAGCTAGGAATTGAATGCATTTCGTTAGCATCCAGTGTGAGTTGGTGAAGAGATCACGGCACTCCTTGCGTGGTTGCTTTATGTGAGTCATTGTGGAAGCATATTTTATTGGATTTACATAAGATGTAAAAGGTTCTCTTGAAAAGAGAACAAATTCGAAGTAGGCATATTCGAACTGGTGCAGTTTGTATAGCAGTAAGAGTTGGTGATATTCCTGGCAATAAATAATTATCTAATCAGTGGAAAGGCAAATCTTCTGTGCGCTACACACGTCCCTAGCATCTCAAAGTTAACGTCAGCACTCGCTGTGAATAGCCCTCACCAACATATTTCATGAAATGACAGATTTATCCACTTAGCCCGCCGCCTGTGCAGTCGCGGAAACAGAGGAGAGCCAGGTCATGCCCTCTTTGGACCCCAAAGGGGCCAATGATAGCCTCCGAAGGGGCCATACCTGGCTAAATAGACGCGGTTTTTTAACCTGAAATAGAACCGAACTGGACGTCCTTTGGCCTCCAGGCGTCCAAGAGCAGTTCCAAGCGAAAGTGGAGGGCCAATGAGCAGATCGAAATAATTATTTGCTGATTGAGAGTGGTACAGGGTATAGTTCAACTATCCGCTTGCAGAGCATATCCGACGGCCAAAGAGCTTTTAAAGTTGCCTTCGATTTCATTACCCTTGCTCGGCGGGCGCTTCGCTGTTGTCGTGGCCCTGCCCGCTAGCATGCCGGGGCATTATCATTTGTTATGCTTTTTAACACGTGGGCTGTGAGCCGTTGTAGATCATTGCTTGGACAACCTGTTTAGAAAACAATCGCAGAAGAATCTTAAACACTACATTTATGGGAAAATTTACAACTGCGAAACTACAATGAGCCAATTTAAGGTAACGGAATGCTATGGCTTTGATTTCTCCCCTTTGGTGTGTAGCAAGGCCACTCTGCTCTAAGGACACTTTGACTTTCGTAAACATTGCTCACTTGCCAATTGCTCAGTTTTCGGTAGGGCTGCATTAACAGCTGTTAACACAGCCTATCGCCGCATGCGATTCTCACAGAAACATACGCGCTTTAATATGGTTATGACATCGTCATTAAAACTTTTTTGATAACTTTAATCTCAACATTTTGTTTGGATGGATTTCTGAGATCAGAGTACGACGTACACAAGCGCATTGCAGAAATGTCAAGCATAAGCGCCGCGCAACAGCCGAAGACAAAAGAAGGCGCCCAAAATGTCTGTATAGAATGTTGGGACCACTGTAAATTATAGCAAGATAAACTCATTCTATGAAATTATTGAGCAGGCGTTAAAGGCCTGACTTTAACACGGAAGGCCTTTCAATGTTGTGATACGAAAATTCGTCAGATTTGAGTTCCGAATTCGCGCGCATCTCTGCTCATCAGGTTTGACGGCGAGTGCCTATACACTGTACACAGCGCTGAGGTAACGCTGTGCACAGCGCTGAGGTATTCAGCGCCGCGTTGCATTCAAGATGACACTCCCCTAGCACCTCACCCCTTCACCGAAGAACCCTCCGCATATTCCACGTAGCATGGTGATTATGATTTATTATCTTGATTTTGATGGTGTCGTCCTCGATAGAATTGTTCTTGATGATCTTGGTGATCTTGATCGGGATGATCTTGATGGGCGTATTGACATTGATGATCTTTATGATCTTGATGTTCTAGACCTTGGCGATCTCAATCTTGACAATCTCAGTCTTGATAATATTGATATTTGTGATCATGACTTTGAGGATCTTGATCTGGATTATCTTGATTTTGATTGACCTCATCTGGATTGTGTTGATTTTGGTGATCTTGATATAAATGATAGTGGTCTAGACTATCGTGATCTATACGATATTGACCTAGATGATCTTGGCCTAGATAATCTTGATATGGATAACCTTGATTTGGAGAATCTTGATCTAGATGATCTTGATCTTGATGCTTCAGATTATTTTCAATACAAACCTGCCGGACTTGCCTGCCCGCAGGCATGCTGACGCTGAGCCACCCCGACACCACCTGGCTGACAGCGGCGCTGTTCCTGCTGCTGGGCGACCCGGGTGGCGCGACCCGCTCGCGCGCGACCTTCCGCCTCTCGGCTGCCGAGCGGCGCTTCGCGGGCTCGCCTCTGGCCGTCGCCGCCGCCGACTCGACGTTCGTGTGTGCGCTGCGTTGCTTCCGCCGCGACGGCTGTGTCTCCATCCAGACTGGGGCCGCGCGGTGCCTGCTTCTCGGCCACGAGCCGGAGGCCGGTCAGCTGGAGCCAGAGGCGGGGAGCTGCGTGCTGACGGCAGTGACGTCACTGGTGACGGATGGGCTCGAGCAGGTGACGCCATCGACGGTGGTGGGGAGTAGTGCGGGCTCAACGGGCGAAGGCGGTGCTGATGTGACGACGGCCGCTGTGTCCTCCACTGCTGCCACCACGGACTATACTACGGCAGCACCTCCTACCACTGCCACCACGGAAACCATTACGATTACCGCGTCTGCTGCCGCCACAACTTCTGGAGTCACCACTACGCTGGAATCTGTGCCGGCGCCAACTACGACAGATCCCAGCACGATACCACGTCCCGCAACTACCACGTCTTCTACAACGACGTCTACAGCAGCCACCGCGTCCTTCACCACGACACAGATAACGTCCACAACGTCCACCACGGCACCAATATCTACCACAACATCCACCATGGTACCAATATCTACCACAGCGTCCACCACGGCGCCAATATCTACCACAACGCCCCCCATGGCACCAATATCTACTACAGCGTCCACCACGGCACCAATATCTACCACAACGTCCACCACGGCACCAATATCTACGACAACGCCCACCACGGCACCAATATCTACCACAGCCCCCACCACGACATCAAAGCCAGTACAGCCCCTTCCACGGCCTCCGCCGGCCCTACCCCGGCCGGGGATGCGCGGACAACTGGAGCGCGTGGGAGGGCGCCTGCTCTTCGTGGAGGAGGTTCAAAGCTCGCAGGAGGGGTCCACGCGCGCGGAGGCGGGCCGAGTACTGCCGGGAGCTCGGTGCCTCGCCTCCCAATCTTCGCGAGTCAGGCGGAGTACGAGTTCCTCGCGGCCAGCCACGACCCCGGATGGCCTTTGGCTGGGGCTGACCAGGACTGGTGGCAGCGGCGACTTTGCGCCTGAGGGTCGGGGGAACAACTCGTTCTGGGGCACCATGTGGTGCGATGAACAGCCCGAGGTCAGTCACCAGTTTGCGTACCTTCGGCATGGTCCAGGTAGGGGTCGGGGTCAAGGTCAAGGTCAAGGTCAAGGTCGAGGTCAAGGTCAAGGCCAAGGACAAGGACAAGGTCGAGGCCAAGGTCAAGGACAAGGTCAAGGACAAGGTCAAGGACAAGGTCAAGGACAAGGTCAAGGACAAGGTCAAGGACAAGGACAAGGACAAGGTCAAGGACAAGGTCGAGGCCAAGGTCGAGGTCGGGGTCAGGGTCAGCGTGAGAAGTGCATGAAATCAGCTGCCAGCGACGAGAGTCTGCAAGGCGAGACAAGAGTTTGCCAGCTCGTTCCAAGCTGAGATATCCATGCCTTTGCAGGGCCGTCGTTACGGCTAGCGTGGGACTCCTGTTTGCTGTGCTGTCCCTGAGACGGCACATCGGGCCCTGCACAGCAGCGCCGCCAGCAGCACACCTTACGCACCTAGTCAGGTGTCTGTGTCTGCCTCTGACCTCGCTTGGGCGGACACAACAGCTTATACAGCGGGCTTATACAGCGGCATAGCCCGACGCTTGGCGGGTGTAATAGGTAAAGACAACCTCTCCGTGAGGGCCTCTGGTGGCAGTGATGTAAGCGACAGTCAGTACCGTTAGCAGTGCGCTGGCTAGCTGGCTGGCTAGCAGGCTAGCAGTGCGCTGGTAACAGCTGATCTCCACGCTTGCCGACGCCGTATCGCGCTGGTAACAGCTGATTTTCACGGCTGCCGACGCCTCGTAGCGCTGGTAACAGCTGATCTTCACGTTTGCCGACGCCGTATCGCGCTGGTAACAGCTGATCCTCACGGCTGTCGACGCCTCGTAGCGCTGGTAACAGCTGATCTTCACGTTTGCCGACGCCGTATCGCGCTAGTAACAGCTGATCTTCACGTTTGCCGACGCCGTATCGCGCTGGTAACAGCTGATCTTCACGATCGCCGACGCCGTACCTCGCCGACGGTCAGCCAGTATTCGTGCCACGACTCGTGATCTCCAGGTGGTCTCGAGCGGAGGATCTCTGAGATTCGTGCCACCACTCGTGATCTCCAGGTGGTCTCAAGTGGATGATCTCTGAGATTCGTGTCACGACTCGTGATCTCCAGGTGGTCTCGAGCAAATGATCTCTGAGATTCGTGTCACTACTCGTGATCTCCAGGTGGTCTTAAGTGGATGATCTCTGAGTTGATGCGCCGCTATGCTTGATATGTTTTGCATTCGTTGGTGTTTTTCTGTTGGTCTCGTTACAATTTCTGGTGTCTCTCGCGCCGTGTGCGGGGTTGGGGTTGAGAAAGAGCCTGCTAATTGCCACCGTAGTTCTGGTATTTGGCTTCGCTGACTCCCTGAGCAGCAGCTCTACACTGGCAAGTATCGCTAAGCATAGCTCTCTGTGCCGTTTGACCCATATGACGCGTCGCTGCATCCCGACAAGCGTTGTTTGTCACATTTTTATAATGGCCGGGGCGCACACTTTGTAGCGACACTGCGTCCGCTGTAAAACGGTGGTAATGGAGGCGGAGCTTGTTTCGGCGTTTGCGCATCGCAGAACTCACGATTTATCGGCTGATTGCAAGTCATTTGTACGGGCTGGCTTGTCACAAGCTGGACATAACGTGCAGGCACGTTCACAATGGCGATTGTGTTATGGCGTTTTGCCGTGCAGAGCTTGCCGCAATGGGAATTGACAGTGGCTGGCTTGCAAATGTGCTTTTCGTCCTCGAAGGATGTTGACACCGACTTGTATCAAGCTCAGGTTCGCGCATGCGACAAGGTAGAACGGTTACTGTTACGAAACATCATCGGAATATACTTAATGCACCTTCACCGTTGTTCGTCAGAGGCCAAAGCTGGAGGCAGGGTATATATGATCCTTGTCCATGTTGTACTTCTCGCGATATTGCAACGATTGGACATCGTTCTTTCATGAAGACTCAATTTGTATAGCGCTGGACTCGTAATCAGAAGACCCCGGTTCGAATCCCATATAGTTCAAGTAGAAAATTCGGCTTGTGACACATACATGACTGACAGAAAACCATCATCGGATCATTCACATCACTCCGTGGCATCTAACGACTGCTGACGACTGAACTGGCGGACTTTTTGTCTTCATAGCAACACACTAGATCAGGACGATACTCCGAAAACCATTGCATCCGTAACATGTGTTTGTTAAGAAACTGGCTGTACGAAGACCATACGGATTGGTGAAGGAAGATGGCGGGGTAGTGGAAGGGGGCTGCAAGATCCACCAGTTCCAAAAGTGAGCAAGCTGCCCCGAGCAAGCCCGCCGGAACTGCCAGAATATGAATATATTGGAACTGGGATAGTCGTGAGACCATGCATCGCGCAAAGAAACAACCGATTAATATATCAGAATATAAAAAGGCATTCAACGGCAGATTTTTCGGCATTGTGAATAGCGAAGTTCTTATGTTGGGTTAGCGACCTTCAATATCTTGTAGCATGTTCCCGTTACCAAATGTATGCCATCTGTGGATGTTTGCATGATGAAACATGACAATAAAGATAGAGATGGGTTGATATTTCGGCAACATGCCTTTAAAGAAACAATAGCAGAACTGAATATTCACTGGCAAAAGGCTGTTACTACCGTCTTATTTAAGTGAATAATGGTTCTCGCAAATGCACTGAACAACTTACGCAACGCCCAAAAAGGTCACATTCGTTTGTTCCCAGATTTAGCTAGATGTGTGAAATAAATTATCTAGAAAATCCTGGTCGTGGGAGTTGGCAAACGGTGTCTGAAAACAACGTCTCGACTAATTCTCATAATTCTAACAAGGTTTGCAACTACAACTTGTCTCAATGCTACCCTGCCCAAGATCTCCCATTCATACCTTGCAGACGTGTGTTCGACTCCCGCTGAGTCGTGATTTGGCTCACGAGCCTTTTTTTTTTTTTGGGGGGGGGGGGGGGTGAGCCACGAGCTGAGTCGGCTCGTTGGACAAAATGTCGCCTTTAGCCATGGGTTGAACCACATACGTCGTAAAATCAGGACCCGTGTCGTGAGCCGGTCATTTCTAACATTGTCGCGCCAGTGAGACATGTGGCTCAACTTAAAATGGTAATATAGGGAAACACAGCGCGCCCCAGGAAAATTTGCGTACTATTGCAGTGTTAAAGTGAACGGCATGCAACATAAGTTGTTAAGATTTTTACGAAACAGCACAAAGTTTGTTATTGTAATCCGTAAGCAGCAAACAATTTCGTTGATCCTGGCCTAAAATTTTGTCCTCAGCCAAGAACCAGAGGATATTAGATAGTATACAGGTAACCTATATTCCTATATACTGCGTCAACATCAGTGAAAGATTGTCTGCTATCTATACAAATCAAAGCCTTGTCATATTTTTGTCAATTTTCAATACATCGCCAATTGTCGCAGCAATGAACTAATCCATTCGTGCGCATGTAGCCACATTTCCACTAGCCAGTGCTAGGCTAGTACTAGCTAGTGAAAATGTGGCTACATGCGTTTGAATGCACTTGAACTGGCGGAAATTTTTCTGTTTTGCTGGTGTCAGGGTAGAAGTCAATTCCCCCCACCATCCTATCGGGTATTGACGGCACACTTACCACGCAGGAATTACACGGGACTGGTCTCTCCAACGCCTTTCTGCTACGCTTACCTTACCACACCATTACCAGGCTCCCACCGCCACTGTGCAGCTTCGCAAACTTACTCTATACAGTTTCACCCACCAGCGTGTACCTCCCTCCCGTGTACCGACCTCCCGTGTGCCAACCACGTACTACTCTCTCGAAACGGGCATACTAACCTCTTGCCAGCACCGCGTGGTTGCCCTTCCACTAGGATCGTTCTTCCGCTAGCATTAAATTTCAAACGAAGGGACAAATGTCAGTGTGCACTGTTCGTTGGATAACGCAAAAAGAACATCTAAACCAAAGCTTGCGTGCGCCAACGCAGCGAAGAAATCAGGTTCACACGACTGTAGGGAACATTTAGGTTAACGGCTTGACCAGAACACAGTCAAGCGATGCAGTGTCATTCATGTTCAATAATACCACGGTTCGTCATCGGTTTCTCGTCACAGTATCGAACGAGGACTGCGGGCCAACAGGCGATGCACGCGACATGACTCTCTGTTCTAACGTATTCAGTGCGGCTGGGTTCAGGACAATTTTATCGCGAGAAAACAAATATACTGCCAGGAAACCACGCTCCCCACGCAGCAGCGCGAAGAATCAAACGCGCCGCAGGCTGACCAACATCGCGGCTGTATGCGGTTGCACGCTGCCGTAGTCGTAATACACCATCACGTGGCCGCCTTTGGATCCAAGGCGCGCAGGCTGTTTCGAATCGACCGCTTCCACACGCTTCAATTTCGAGTAATACCTAAGGTGTCGGACGGGCCTGCGCTGTGATGTAGAACAGATGTTTCAAAACAAATCTGATCAGCTTCTACAGGTGCGCGCTGTTAGCTTTTTGGCCAAACACACAAACTGGCACTGCTAGCATCAGTATGACCCCGCGGAGCTCACCATCGTAGCTACAGCCGTTTTCCCGCAATAACCGGAAATTCGTCTCCCTCCTGCTTCACCTGCAAAGCCTCACTGCAGCCGTGATTGCCCTCCATTCGATGAAGCGTCTCCGCAGGTCATTCAATAGTTTAACGCACTTGAAACTACAGACTGACCCGTTCATAAATTGTCAAGTGGGCACTGTTCATGCGGAAGTAAATAATTCTGGGAGAGACGCTTACTGTTACCTCAGCGTCATTCTGTTCGACTTCAAGACCTTTCCCTCAGCTGGGTGTATGATCTCAGCAGATCGCAAGCCAAAGTGTGATGCTGCCGGAGCATCTGCAAAACATGCAAAACAAGGAACGCTGCCGCAATGCCTCCGTCTCTTCCCGCAAGGACGCGTTTTTTGTTGATAAAAGCAAGAAAGACCTTAAGCTGCTGGTACTTCGGCATCATGAGCCGGAGTCCTAATCCTGAACACACTCAACCTTCATTTTACCAGGGACATACCATTACGTGTACCTAGCAATCATCTCAGTCCATACAATTTTTCTTTGCAACCTATAACATTGTCCATCCATTTTGACCAAAACTTGACACACCAATATCAATGTTAGCCCTGGCCCAAACTTGGTCGCGTATGAACAACCCGGGCCGTCAAGGACCCGGCAAGCCGTACCACGCCGGCTTCAGTTTGACCTGTTATCGCTGGTGCGAGATGAGAACGGTTTGTTGTATTTGTAGCAAATATCACTCGATAGTGTACGATGTTGTTTCGGAGATTATTGCAGATGTACAGCTTCATCATGGGTGACTTAGAAAAAACAAATAACCTTGAGAGATGGTTGAAAATGTGTTGTTTGTATCAAGTAAGAACTCCTCAAAAGTTGTATTCTGTTTCACCATTTTCCCTGTCCATTTCCCCATATCAGAGGCCCCCCCCCCCCCCCCCCAGAAGGCGCGGCGGGCGTATAGCAGCAGGCGCTCGCCAGAGACGCATCAGGGCGGTGCGAACTTCAAGTGGTATCTGTTGTGGTTGCCCTATGATATATTTATAACCTTCACGGTAATGGAAACTTGATTGCTTGTTTTGCAGTTATTATGAACTCTTCATATAATATATATATATTATATATATATATATATATAAATATATATTATATATATACCCAATGGCATATCTTTCTGCCTAAAAAACATGTTGCATTTCATGATTGCATGTTAGTACCCGTACTCATGGATAATGTTTGAACC